ACTACCACACCAAACATTAGCTCCATATCTATAAAAATGACAGAACAATGAAACGATGCAAACAGTCTTGACTCAGACGGTCTTGGGCGAACAGATGAAATGATCATAATGTTTCTAAGAGCAGAGCAGAGGTCAGACAGAAGCATGAGCCTGAAGACTGGATATCAGTATCAGACCCTGCAGCCTCTCTGCAGAGACTTCCTGTGGAAACCAYGATGAGCCAGGGTAGGTCAGTCAGTTCCAGACTGACATATTGTTTGTGGTTGATCAGTGTACATCATCTGCAGGGGTTTCTGTCTGTAGGAGTCATGGCGGGAGAAGAACGTAGCCTGTAATAAGAGCTGGGTACGATACTACTGAGTCAATACTATATGTGACCCATCATATCGAAATGAGGATCAAGTCAAATTTGGTCAAAATGACCAAATTACATTTTCAGATTCCTGAATTTAAAAGCTACGTTTTGATACCTGGATCATTCTGGTATCGGATATGATTTAATTGGTCTTGTTGGTTACGATAATACATTACTGTTTGATCTGAATCCTAATTTTATGTAAATTTATTGAGGAATTTTTGACGTAATTATAAAGAGGAAATTTCAAATAGTATTTCAACACTGAGATTTCCCAGTTTGAAAGAAACAAAAACATTGCTAGGTCACATGGAAAAATTCAAAATTTCAAGACGTTTTTCTTCAAAATCATGTTTTTTTGTTGCTACTGCTAAAACAAATGCTTCAAAAATATTTTTAGGATTATATTTCTGACATTTCATTTAATTAATACATTGATAAGGCATTAATTCATTATATATTGACAAAATGCAATTTTTGCACACGTTTAAATCTAAACCCTTTATCTGCCTATATCTCTCCACTTTTGGACTTAATCCTCATTACGATGTGATGGATCACATATATCCTGATTTATCTCGTTGTCAAGCACAAAATAATAGAGCTGCTAGTGATTGCACTTTTTGTCTCCACAAGTTTTGCTATGTTTTCAAAAAGTGGTAGACAAGATTGACCTCAACTTTGTTTTGGAAAATGTTGAGACTGATCCCTCTCATGTTCTGAGAGTAAACAGATTACATAGGATCTTTATTTGTTTCAAGTTTGGACTAAAACGGCAACAACTTGTGGTCTTAGACTTTACATCATATCGTGTAAAAGTTAGTGGGTGCCGTGTATTCTTTCAAAGAATGCTGGGCCTTTCTAGTGTTTACGTGATGTTGAATTATCTAATGTTGCCGAACGCGCATAAAGTTGTGAAATATCTGAGCTTTTCTATGTTGGTGACACTGGTTTTCGCAGTAGCAATCTTTTCAGTGACGGGTTTTTAAAAAGGTGCACTTAAGCTTACATGTATTCTATCTGTCCATCTATTTTTTTTTCTTTTGGTGTGTGTGGGATATGGAATGTAACTGGGTTAATTCAAAGAGTAATGTGAGGTCTGTATTGCTGCAGGCATATGCCATGCGTCCCACGTGCCTCACTTCCAAATGAATCAAGGCTTTTCCACAGTGTTGATGCCACTAGCGAAGTGCATAGTGCTTTTTCAAACACTAAATATTACATCAAATAAGCCTGGCTGTGTCTCTGGTGTCAGTGGAGAAAGGAGAATCACTTTTTCAGGCTTGCAAAATTCTGTATTGCTGCTTGTAAATAGACTTGTGTTTCTAAATTTAGACCTCTGCACTAAAAATTAAAGCTCACAGGTGCAGGATTGACAATACGTTGACAACAAAGTGTGCTTTTTGAGCAAAACTTAAAGAATATTAAAGGTTATTTTGGATAGTTTGTGAGTGAAAGATGCTTGTGTTCTGAGCAGGAAGCCTCATTGTCCTTGAAGCATTGAGTGTCAGCAAATTGCGTGGTGCCATGTAGACTAAACCAGAGATGAGTATTCAAAAATGCAGCGTCTGCAGCCCAGCAATGAGGCCTGGACTGTTTGAATGAGTTAGAACGGTGGTCTTTAATTAAAATGTAGTGATTGTTTTTGATTGTACTGATCTGTAGACTGGCAGCTACTGTCTGCAAAGAGAAGCAGAGAGAAACCACGGGTCAGATGTGGGAATTATCGTAAACACTAGAAAAGCTGCACCATACCAACAGTGAAGTTTGGAGGTGGRAACATCATGGTGTGGGGCTGTTTTTCAGCATATGGTACTGGCAAACTTCAAATAATTGAAGGAAGGATGAGTGGAAAAATGTACAGAGACATTCTTGATAAAAATCTGCTTCCATCTACCAGGATGATGAAGATGAAACGTGGCTGGACATTTCAGCAAGACAATGAGCCCAAACACAAAGTCAAGGAAACTCTCAGTTGGTTTCAGAGAAAGAAACTAAAGCTGCTGGAATGGCCCAGCCAATCACCTGACCTGAATCCAACAGAAAATCTATGGAAAGAACTAAAGATCAGAGTTCATTGAAGAGGTCCACRAAACCTTCAAGATTTGAAGACTGTTTGTGTGGAAGAATGGGCCAAAATCACACCTGAGCAATGCATGCCACTAGTTTCTCCATACAGGAGGCGTCTTGAAGCTGTCATTGACAACAAAGGCTTTTGTACAAAGTATTAGATAAATTTCAGTAATAGTGTTCAATACTTTTCCCCTGTGCCATTCCACATTATTACAAATAACTTCATTTCTGGACTTTTATGGTTTGATTTCTTTGTATGTATGGATGGGTTGTTACCAACATCTGGTGAAAATCTCGTCATTAGCACCTCTAGTAATATATTTACTGAGAAAAATGGTGACGTGTTCAATACTTATTTTACCTGCTGTATCAACAATGTGACACACTATGGTGTTTAAAAAAAATCTCTGCACAGATCACATTTATTAGCCAGAGGTGTAAATGAGTTTAGGGGGCCGTCTATCTGAAGCAATGAGTGTTGTATGCACTTGTGTGAATATCTGAAAAATGTGTCCGAAGAATCAAGTCCCCAAAACCAGCGCAGCCATAGTCCAGAATATGGATGTTAATTGTTCATTCTGTGTGGCCTCAGCTTGCTCCAGGAGCCAGATCACAGACCAGTGTGAGAGGGAGGAAAGGTGGAGGGCAGACCCTTAGTCTATGTAAACATCCAGGAAGAATTTAGTCCAACAACTCAAGGCCATTGTAGGAGAGAGCCAAATTCTGTAATCAGTTGTTTGGGAACAGAAGAGAATGTTCTGGGCCAGGCAGATGATATCAATTTTCCATCTGCCTTGATGTCCGCTGGTACATCTCAATGTGGCGAATCCAGTCAGACAAATGATGTGGACAAATTCCGCTGAGATGTGCTATCAGCTTTCTACAAGGTCAATTCCATCTGGCCAGCAAAGTCCAGGGACCACAGCCGGCCCGTGACCCTCAGCAGAACCGCTTGCAGAACGAGTCCAGCTCGCTCAAGGCAAAAGTCTGAGTGCTGATAGAACAGCAATCCCACATATCGGTCAGGCAGCCAGGAAATGAACAGCCACCAATGCTGTCTTGTAGAAACACCCGAAGACCACCAAGCCAATCTGTATGATCCAGTTATCAGAATCCAAATATATATATATATATATCCAGAACAGAGAAGAACAGCGATCACACCTTTGACATGTCCTCCCATAGAAGAAAAAACTTTGTTCCAAAAATTTATTAAGAGACCAGCAAACCAAATCCATAAAAATTAATACATCCATAATTTCTGATTTCGGATGAAACCGTAGAGAAGGCTCCAAGCAGCAAAGCAGGGAAGATAAGGAAAGGCAGGAGAGAAGGAAAAAGCATCTTACTCCTCTGAGAGCGGGAAGAAAAAAATGAATACCACATAGTGATAATAAAACAATTTCAAAAACAAAAACAACACATATTATTTTTGACATCTCTGACTTGCCAAATTTTTAAACAAATTTTATTTTCACTTTCATAGTTTAATTTTCAACTGCTTGTAGTTTTGACTGTCTTAGATATTCATAGAAATTGTTTTTACCAGCTTCTAGTCAAGATTCTGATGTAGATACCACTTATGTCTGTTTAACTAAAATAACTCATAGTAATTAGAGTAGAAAATGGGGTTTGAGCTTGAGAGATGAATGAACCAATTGGCGGGCCAAACTTTGGTCACTCATGAGCCGGATGTGGCCCGCAGGCCACCAGTTGAAGAGCCCTGCTTTATAAGAAACAAAGTGAATTGACATATTTTTTTACTTCAGTTTTCAGTAGTACTTCACCATATATATATATATATATATATATATATATAGTAAAAAGGTACAAGAATTTGTTCAGTATGTGATGTGGCATCCGGTACGCTTTAACTACGCCATTAAGGCTGGGAATATTTGTTCTTTATCTCTTTGCAGAGTACACAATATACTGTTGTTTATTCTTGGATATGACAGTGTTGTATGTCGCTCCTCAAAGCACATCAGTGTAACTTGAGCTTCTATTCAGATATTCAACAATATGAGCAGAATGTAAACAAAATTCCTGGAATCCTATTCTGTCTCCTGAAATCCAGTCGTCTTAAATAAACCTTTGTGGCTCCAAATATCTCCTTTCTGCCGCTCTGTGCACATTTCTCCATGTTTACTGTTTTTTATTTTTACAAGCCAAGTCCAGGTTTAGTTTGGTCACAGGCTCTCGTGAAGGCCTCGGTAATGTTGCGTTTGTAAAGATTGGAGGCTGTATTTCACCTCATCACCAAGCTGTGTGTTTTTGCTGAGTGGTGGATTACTCATTGAATTGCTGTCCATGTTAGATTGTTGCTGTTAATCCATCATTGCAAAGCAGCCCGCCCTCTTCCTCCCAACACACCCAGCAGCAGCAGCACACACAGCCCTTACGTGTTACCCAGTATCTCTCTCCCTCAGTGTTCCTCTTTAATAATTAGTTTGGCTCTCTTACAGTAAAGTAGAACACATCATAAGTGAATGTTTTAAACTGACAGACTTTGATCAATTTTAATGTATGTTTTTATTTTCTATCAGTGTTTTATTTTGTTTTTCTTTAACAGATTGAGAAGATCATGACGCTGATTGGGGCCGGCATTGAGACATCCAAAACTGAACAGCCTAAAGCAAACTCAGGTAATGTTTTTGTCAGTCCATATGGCCATATTATTTTTATCCCCTCTCAGTAAAGAAATGTACATTTATTTGTGATATTGTGGGTGACAATTCAGAATGTGATTGAGAAATATTTTATTGATCCCAGAGGGAAATAACAGCTATTACAGCTGCAACCGTTCAAGTTAAAATAATTGGAGAGTAAAGATAAACAGTGTCAAACTCATTTTCACCGAGGGCCACGTGAGCATCACGGTGGTCCTAAAGGGACCGTTTGTAATTAACGTTGATGTTTTGTGTTTAACACGAATCGTTGCGTCTCATTGCTGCAGCTGAGCATCACTAACAAACAAAAACTCAGCTCTGCGTGGTATTTCCAGCATGGAAACAGYGTTTTAACTCATCCTCTTATAARCACTGAAAAATACTACGTATAAAGGTGAAATAAATATTACAGAAATACTATGAAAAGTAAGAGTTTTACTCATTGTTGAGTTTTGATAAGTAGTTGCCATCTTGAATCCTGAACTCTACCACTTAGCAACAGGGAAATCACGCGCATAATCAACATGCATTGTGGGAGATGTCGTTTATGGCTTTAAAGCAGTTTATATTTTGAGACATTTTTATTCGACTTAATTGCTCAGGGAGCCACAGTTACTTAAAGCCAAGCTGAGAGGCCGGACAAGTATCTTTCACCCTTTAAATGTGTTTATTTTTTTGCATTGAATCATAAATTTTAAGTTTACAATTGATGTAAAATCTGTTTTTACATTGAATTAAAGGAGGTATAAGTGGTAGGCCACACAGAAGTTACACTAAGGAAAAAAGGCCTTGTGTACAGTATAGTTAGTATCATGTATAAAAATATAAACCTTATCAAATAAAAACAGTATGAAATAGGCTGTCTAGTTCAGAGGTTCTCAAACTGGGATCCCAGGACCCCCAGGGGTCCACAAGCCCTATTTTGGGGGTCCTCAAAAATTTTCAGTAAATGGTTATTTTGGATTTTATTTGAAAAATGAACATGAGGRACAATGCACTAGTAAAACAAACATACTAAACCAAACAAAAACATAWTATTCTCATAATATTTAGGGGTTAAAATGACAGTRAATTATTTCTAAAACAGCATGGGGTTTATGAGGGGGTCCCTGGAAATTTTTCACACTTGTAAGGGGTCCTCAGACCCAAAAAGTTTGAAAACCCTTGGTCTAGTTTATATAAATAAACCTTATGGAATTTATACAGAATAAAAAAAAATATAGACAAACAATGTGACTGTGTTGACAATGAATAAAGGTCTAATCTGCATTGTTGGTTAACCCCACTTTTTTWTTTTTTTACCTTTTCTCRTTWATTATYAATACTGCAGACAATAGTTTGCTCAATTTCTATTTGTTTCTCATACATTTTTGCTTTATCTAAATAAAAAATCTCATCTTTTTCCTCACAGGTCCTTGTGCAATCCAGCAGTAGGCTGTTTGATTTGATAGTGGGCTTGACCAAAGTGTCAGCTTACCCCCATTAGATCTGTCGCTATAAGGAGGTTTCATCATCTTATGTAACGAGGCTGCTTTCTGCACAGGACTGCTTTTTACACGTCTCATCAGATTGGGTTAGATAAAATTTTCATCAGTCGTGTGCGTCAGACTTGGTGGGCCACCGCAAGGTGTGACACAGAGCAGCAGGAGAGACAAACGTTAGCTTCAACCCAGATGCTGAAAATAAACAAATGCGTTTAAATGGAGATAATTGCCACTTACCTGCATCATACATTTATTCAAATATGTCAGCGTGTCACTAGTTAATTATATATTTCTGACATGACATCTGACTGCCTTAAAAGGCCAACAGTGATGGGTATTAATTGCCAAATAACTGCTTGACATGTTTGAAACGTTGAAAATGACATCAGCTTATTTGTGAAGAACACTTTCAGTCATTAAGGGTCCTGAAGACTTTTTTTAATTAGTTTTAGAAATGAACTCAGTGTTTCTCCATCTAATTATTAAAGTAAATTAATGTAAAAATAAAGAAAGAAAAACAAACTGTCCATCTTACCAAGTTTTAAAATCTTATATCAGCCAAAAGTCGTTTTGATCTTGTTTTGAGACTGATTTACTAAACAAGAACTGATTGTGTAAGAATATTAATCTTGTTTTCAGAATGTGT